AATTGCAAAGTTACCACAGTCAGTGTCATATGATTATTACCAGTACGTATTTGCGCATTTACAGTTCACAATTTGTCAAAATGTCGAATATTGAATATATCTCAACACAGAGAAAWRGGGAGTGCCTTATTTTTAATAACTATTATTTTAGAATTGATAAAAAAATTAAAAATTAAAAATATTGGAAATGTATTGAAAACTGTGGAGCTCGTGTAAWAATTTCAGATGAATTCACTGTACATTCCGATAAGTTTTGTAATCATAACCACAGTCCTCGTCCAGTTAAAATTGAAGAAAAACGTTTTAAGGCCAAACTTCGTTTGAGAGCAAAAGAAAACCCTCTTKAACCAATTCCGAAGGTAATTAAAAAAATTTTAATTACCTATGAAAATATTGATTTTTTTTATTTATGACTATATAAGATACCTAATTGGCTAATTATTACTATTTTTACATAAATACATATTACATAAACATAACTAATTGGTATGTAATTTGTAATCTTAAGTTGARAGTTACTTAAAAAATAAATTCGGCGAAATGAAATGGCGGCGAAATGGGAGCTGACCGTATTTATAATGCAACAAATCGTTGCTGGTCAAATCTTCTGGGATACCTTTTAATGTGGATACATCACCGGATAATACTTTAGAAATTTTCAAGAATATGAAAACCATTATTTTTTTTAAAAACATCTTCACATTTTTTGTTAATATCAGTGCCATTTGTACCACTAACTTCACATATTTTACTTCGCGCAGTTTCTATTAATTTAATTGAGTCTGCTTGTAAAACATTCTGGCTTTCTAAAGATGTTATAGTAGTTGGTAAAAATCCATAATTTGAATAAATAAAAGTTAAATTTGCTTCAACTTGATCTTTAGAAATTAATTTTTGAACTTTGTCTATTGAAATGGCGTCTTCAAGGTTCAATTTCTGTATTACATTTCGAATACCTTCTATATGTTCGCAATAATACATTGAAGCAGAAATCCATGTACCCCATCTTGTTAATATAGGCATTGGAGGCAATGGTATATCTGGAGCCTCAGTTTTAAACAAATCAATACGACTTGGCACTTTTAAAAATATTTTTTTTTGTATTTAAGACAAGTTCATCAATTTTTGGAAATTGACCACGAATTTTTTCTGCCACCCGGTGTAGCCCATGGGCCACACAAGTGACGTGGACCATTTTTGGATAAAAAGCTTGTAAACAATTAGCTGCCTAGACTATATATAAGGAGCAGCATCGCTCAAAAACAAAAGTATATCAGGTCCATCAGGATGTCGGATTCCATTTGTCCATAATGTAAAAAGAGCTTTATCAAAAATTTGACCTATTGTAGAGTGGTTGGTTTTTTCGAGAATACCGGAAAAAATTAAAATATATTACCTGGTTCATCGGCATTTAAAATACCAATAATATTACGTTTGCAATATATCGAGATTGTACGTCAGTAGTTTCGTCGATCGAAATCCAGATTTTCTTATCAAGCACTTCTTTTCTTATGGCGTCCATTGTCTCATCATAGCACTCATTGACATAGGTACTTCTTAATAAAGATACTGATGGAATATCTTTATGCGTATACTTTTCCAGAAACGAACGAAAATAGGTATTTTGTAATTTATTTAATGGTATATTGGCTGCTAACAACGTTTTGCACAAATCTTTATTGAAAAAATTAATTGTTGATGTAGTAGGTAAAAGTTGTTGAGTCTTTTGTTGTTGGTCGCCGAGTCGTTGAATACCACGTGAGTGCTTAGACGTTTTAAGATGTTGTAAAACTGTAAATCGTTTTTCACATGTAACCTTTGCCTCACATAGGTATTTTACAAAACAATATATTCCCATCCGAAGAAAATATATTTTCTCCAAATTCAGAGATGTAACTATTGATACGAYTAGWGTTGGAAGTTCTCACTTTCGGCATTTTAAAACGGTCGATTTAATAACGCACCGCACGAGTATAAAGAGCGACTGACGACTGTAATAGGTGCGATAAAATATTATATTATATTTATCTCTATGCGATACTGTCACCGATCTACGGACATATAATATTGYTGACCCTAATAATTAGCGATTAAGATTAGATTACCTCTTTCCATAAATGAGGCGTCAATACCCAAACGGCTCCCGTCTATTGTTTATTTTTCCCAAACGGCTCCCGTCGAAAAAGGTTTTACGAACAGGTAAATTCCCAAACGGCTCCCGTCGAAAAAAGGGGTAGAACACGACTCCGTACGGTYCTTATCAGCGTACGGAATCGTGCACATTTTAAGACACACGATTTTACAATATTTTTATATTTTTTGTTTTACATTTTGTAACTGTATACAGTTTTTGTATACCGAAATTAATTATATATATATATATATATATATATACAATATTATACGTACTCGTACTTAGCGAGTATCATAATCGCCAAAGCTTGTGTGTATTTTTTCGTCGTGTACATATGACTCGTCGTATATCATCGATATCTAATCTATATCATATTATGTGTTCATGGCTAATTGGAAATATTTTTATATTTTGTAACTGTATACAGTTTTTGTATACCTACCGAAATTAATTAAGTCTGTATGAAGTGGGAAGGAATTTGTGTTGTAAAAAACAGGATTACTACCCGGATTTTACCTGATAGTAAAACTTTTTTCGATGGGAGCCGTTTGGGTATTGATCTGTTCGTAAAACCTTTTYCGACAGRAGCYGTTTGGGAATTGACCTTTTTGAAAACGGGAGCCGTTTATGCCCAAATGAGGTATATGAGTGAAACAAATTAATATTTTGTAATTCCCGAGTTTTTAAGATCTTAAATATGCTCCAAAATGATACTAAATGCTAAAATATGCCCTAAAAATGCAAACAAAAATACCATAATATGCAAAAATATGCGAAATAAAATTTCGTATACAGCATCGTTAGGTTATAAAACGAATTTTGGTATAAACTAGCTATTTTTTTGACCAACCAATAAAAATATGCAAATGCACACAAGTTTTGGCCTTAATTATTAGTCTAATTTGGTATAATATGAAATATTGGGTCAAAAGATAGCTATTTATGCCTTATGGAATACTTTCCGTGTTTATAAGTAACAAACTACATTAATTCTGCATTCCTGCGTATAAAATAAGTATAATTTAGTGTACAAAAAAAAAAACGGATTATTCTTTCTAATGTGGATACGGAAATTTCATTGTATTTTGCTTTATTTTAACATAGGTATTACAATCTATTATATTATTATTACAACGTGAGGAGATTTCTTATGACAGTTATATCTGAAGTTCTACCGGGTCGATTTTCGTGATTTTTTTTTAAATGCAAGTATTTGGTGTGCATATGAGCCATCTAATGAGAAAAGTCCAAAAAATTAATTTTTTAAATACTTATTGGAAGTATAAATTTTGAGCTATTGTTAGTTGTTACATAGCGACGCGCGTTGCTTGCCGTGTGCAGTGTGCACTGCACTCACACAGTCACACATCTTTACAACCTCCACTACTCCTACGTCTGCTGCAATAATGCTACATCGTCGTCGGCACTGTCTGGGGTGTGGTTACTTCCTTATCTGAAACTTTCGCAACTGAGCGGCTATTAATAGTATAGCGTTGGTTTATGGCTTGTTCGAAAGCACGATATCCAAGGTTTTTGTTATGACTAGTTCAGCTCACACGGCAAGAAGGTCAATCTTGCGTGAAAACTTCCCCGAACGGCTCATCTCTCTTAGAGGTGATCTTCAGTGGCCAGCACGATCTCCTGCAGATTTAGCCCTATGTGATTTTTTCCTGTGGGGCTACCTAAAATCATTGGTGTACACGTATCGTCCAAAGACCCTTGGTCTGTGGTCATCTCAAAAACAATATTCGTGCTGCTATTGCCGACATAAGCACAGATATGCTGGAAAAAGTGGATAACAATTTCAAATTCCGACTATCTCAGTSCATTGACGAGAACGGTGGCTATCTTCGAGATGTCGTTTTTAAAACCAAATAAAATAAAACTTTAAATGTACCCCTATACACAGAACAAATAATTAAATCAATATTGCCTATACTTTTTATGTTATGATTTTTTTAAATAAGGAAGTAACCACGCCCCACCCTGTACATTTTCATTGTTGTCATAACAGTGAAATTGTTAATTGTTGTATAATATATTAATATTATTTTTAAATTTAGTTTTTATTTAAAAAGGAATATCAATTAATTCCCGTATAGTAGGCTCTGTCTCTGTGGCATATTTAATATTTGGTACGTAAAAAAAACATTGAGATATTCGATTAAGAGTTGTTAACTTGGTAATATGGTGGTTACATTTATCATTTGACCGTCAAGATGTTAATTTAGAAAAAAAAAATAATGACAGCATTTAAAGATAATATCTATAAATTAAAACATATTGCACGGTCTGAACTCGGCGGATGGTGACAGATAGACTAACTGCTATGAGTGCTATTATAATAAAATTACAAGATATTAAAATAATTAAAAATGGTCTCCGTTTTCGTACACGACAATAACACAAATATAAAAACATAAATACATAGTAATGATAGTTAAAATCACTATACATTATATTTATTTATTTTGATTTTATTAATTATAAGCCCGACAACTATGGACATTAGCTACAGAGGCACAATTTAGGGGAACAGGGGAGCATCTAGGCTATTGCTCTCTTCATAAACATTGAGCATTGGATAAAAAAAGTTTATTTTATACTTTGTTTATGGTTCAATTAAAATAAAACACTATGAATATAAATTTGATAGTAGAATGAAAACTGTAACACACATTTGAGAGTTGAGACATATATATTATATATATAAGAGGTAGGATTTTTAACGGGCTACGGAGTGCACGCAAAAACGCGTATTAATTTATACACGGAATAAACAAATAATAAAAGCAATATAAAACGATAAACATTGCAATAAAAAATACTTCAACTATATGAATTAAAAAATTTATATTTTCAACTAGGTGTATTTTTAAAATTATATGGAATGTATCAACCAATTATTTATAACAGCTTCGTGATTTTCTAACCATTTTATGTTATTTGATACAACGTCTAGTGCAGTTTTTCGTTTATCGTTTTTCGCTACAGCTTCTGGATGTTTATCAAAAAATATGTTCATCTATAAAAACCCAAATTTACCTATATAAATATCAAGTATATCAAAAGTACAGAAACATACTAATAGGTAGCTTAGAAAAATACAGTATTCGAGATATTTAGTTCAACATTGGTTGTTATCAACCAACATTTAAGTTAATTAAGAACAAATAATATTAAATTTACTTCTCCAATATGATCATGTGTATTGAAACGAACACAAACTGAAGGAATGAGATTTCTAAGTTGCCAATTATCAAGAGAAAAACGATCCACCAAGTCCTTCCAATTATCCCTAATATAAATATAGATTAGATTAAATTTTCTTACACCTATAGTTTTAAAATATAAATGTAAGAGGCCCGTGTGTGTTTTCTCCGTCTTACACGAGTAGATACTTACGACATATAGGTACGCGTTTACACATATTGTCTTAGTAGGACTCATCCAATTTTGGTTCTAGAGTAAAAATACCTATTACAAAATTGAATAATGATGTTTCCGAGGGAATGATGGTGCATTTTTTTTCAATAATATTTAAATTTTTAAAAATTAAAGGTCATTTAAAAATGTTGAAATTTTTGCTATTTCTAAACGATATAATGAATGATATATTGAGAATCATGATGGCAAAAACGTCCGTCTTGCCCTCGGAAATATTGTCACAATTCAATTTCCATAGGTATTTTTATTTTTTACACTAGAACCAAAATTGAGAGAGTCTTATCACTGCAGAATATATGAAATGTCATAATAATATCATATATATTCTGTCATCCTACTACGTAAACGCGTTTAGTCTATCTTACAAGTGCGTGTTATACATATAGGTGCAATTAGGGTCAGTTTTTTTTTTTTTTTTTTTTTTGGTGGGGGGGGGGGCTAGAATTTTTAACTTATGAATATTTTGTTTATGGAATATGCAACATTAATAATAACTAACATAATAATAATGATAATAATATTTTATATATAATAATAATGATAATGATAATAATAATAATATTTTGGGGTTGAGCTTGTCTAAACACACCTAATTGCACCGTAGCAAATTTTACGCTCAGCAGATCACGTTTAACTTCGTTAGTTTAAAATGTGGAGCGAATTTACCTCTTATAAAAATTAAAGATGACATTAACTAGGGCATCTCTTTGTATTATGTTTTATTTTTAAAGCGAGTTATGGGTATTTTAAAATTGTAAATTGTTTGTATATCTTAAAATACTCATAACTCGCTTTAAAATTAAAATATAATAAAAAGCCCACGAGATGGCCTAGATAATAATGTTACCTTTAATTTTTATAAGAAGTCAATTCACCATACATTTTAAATTAACGGAGCTAATCGTGATCTGCTGAGCATAAAATTTGCTATGTTACGTACATATATACGTACGTATATATTTATAGGTACCTCAAATAGTTCCATACGAATTGAGTTCCAAAAGAATTACGATTTATCTGTGATAAGATTTCTAAATAATCTTGGGAACGGACTTGGCTCTCATTTTTTGTATATTGCAATAATCTATATAAAACAATAAAATATATTATATATTTTTATTCGATATGAATATAATTTAGTGCAAAATTTACCTAGTTAATTTTGACGTTTCTCTTGAAAAAGACAATGCAAGCATTAGGTTCTCTTTTTCCTGAGGTTCTTGTTCATTTAAAAATAAGTCCCATAATTTATTCCATTCACTATCATTTAACTGAGACACTCCTAGATAAACAAAATTTTCATTAATATTTTAAATCAATAGCAAATTACCTACATATTTATTTAAAAAATAAATACTTCCATTTAAAATTCTACTAACCATAGTCGTAAACTGTATCTTTAATATCTGCATGTGGTTGAACTTTATCATTCAAAAATAGTTTGAACAATTCATATGCTTTTGTTCGATAGCTTTGCAAACCATATAAACATCCTAATTTGAATATTACTGCTCGAAACTTACGTTGTAAGAAGTTTCTATCACTTGAATCATTCCAAAAATCTTCTTTCATATTTCCCAACAAATATTGTACATATTTCTTTTATAAACAATAAATAAATTTATATGTGTTTGGTCCAAATTCACGAATCAGTATGTTGTAACTAAATACGTTATGAGATCAGTTTCTAATGAGCAAAATACCTGCTAATTGTGTGAAATCGAAAAATCACTTTGTGAAAAAAAAACATTGGGACTATAAAAAAATAAATTAAAATTAAGGTGTTATAATCACAATATTACTCTAACCAGTCTCACCTTCATCAAAATCAGAGATAATAATTATAATATGGAGGATGGTGGATAAATAAATTGAACATATATTATTATAAAACGTCTTTATATTTATTATTATTATTATTTATCGTAGTTTATGGGTCTGAATTTCATTAAGGCTTAAAAGATAAATATCTTAAAAACGACAAAAAAAATGTTGAGAATTTAACTATGTATAAAATATAGTTATATCCTTGTAATGCTACTATTTTATGCAATTTTTAATTTTTAATCACAAAACGATACGCAAATAATTATGTTTTTGATGAATTTTGTAAAAGTTTCAACTAAGTTTATAAACAAAATTGCTACAATATATTGTCAATACATTATTAGAACAGCAAATAAAAACTTTAAGGAAAATCTATTATTAAATGTTTTAGTTTTTTGACTTGGGAACCAACTTTTTTAAACATTAAACGAAAATTTTTAAATTATTATTATCCAATTGGATGGTCTAAACATTTCTTTGTTTAGTTGTTTTTTAATTATTCATTTTCTTTAAATGTATTATAGGTAAATCCACTAATATTTTCGTTTTATTAAAAATATTTTTCCAAAGCTATTAATATGACAAAAAAAAGGTCTACTTAAATTGTGGTATCAGGAATAAACATTGACAGATAACTTCACAGTGCTAGCCGAATTACTGAATGAAAAACACATATTTGACAATAATGACGTGTAATTATTAGTTTTTTAATAAACATACTATTTCTTACTTCAAGGTTTTTTTGAGCCGGGCGTTGATATAAATGTCCGCTTAATATATTTAAGTTTTTAGCAGCTACATCCCAAGGAACGAAATGATGTTCTGAAGATAAATACTTTGTCATGTTTAACGCAATGCCATATGGTAAGTAGTTAGCTTTGGCCAAACTAAAGGCATCATGAATAAGATTTGAACGGTCAGCCGCACTTAATGCCTTTAAATTTTAAATTTTAATGTATTAATATGGCTAAAAATATTATCCAAATACTTACATCAACATTTTTTTCTAATAAATTGTTAAGTAAACCCCAATCACTCTCTGAATAGTTTATCATGTAATATCCAATTTGTCTATGATTAAGTTTTATCCACTCAGCATCGGGTATGTCAATTGTAACTTTTAGATAAATATTTTTATTAAAATCAACTATATTCAAAAACCATAGTACTTACTTGAATCCTCGTCTTTGCTTAACCAAAACCTATGTACAGTATTGTTGTTTGAAGTGGTATAAGTGACAGGAATTTCCCATTTGTAATTATATGGTGATGATTCGGACGAAGAATCAGAATTTGGGTAGGACAAAAATTTTTGCTGCTTTAAAGTAAGTTTAGTTCCATTCCGTATAGCCGATACTACTGGGAACCCTGCTTGCCTTGTCCATGTATCCATGAGCTATTATTATTTAAATACAAATATTTATAACAAGTTAAATATTATAATATGTATACAAACTAATAAGTCATTTTTACCTTTTTAACATCGACTGTATCTTGAGCAGCATTTTGTAATTCTGCCCATAAATCATCAGTTTCAGCATTGTTAAATGCAAAACGTTTTAAATATGCGCTCACACCAACTCTGAAAACTTCTTCACCCAACATTCCTTCTAACATTCGTATAACAGAAGGACCCTAAAAAATCAAATTAGTATTTTAGAAATAACATCAGACAATGGAAACAAACAAACTTACTTTTCGATATGATATGATATCAAACATTTTAGTTATTTGATCTGGATTAGAAATATCTTGTATTATGGCATGAGATCCAAGTTCACTATCTGGATATTGTACCAATTGGAGACAATGAATAAGAAACAATGTGTCCTTGTAAAATAATTGATAATTAAAAAGAACATTATCTTACAAAAAAATGAACATAGCAGATACATACAACATCCCATTCAGGGTGGACAACTTGCGAAGCTTTAAATTTCATGAATGTGGCAAACCCTTCATTAAGCCATAAATCATTCCACCATTTCATAGTAACTTGAAAAGTTCAATAAGTTGTATGATAATTTATTTGGCATAATAAATAATATAGTTGCTGATCAAATAGGTTAATGATTACTAACTATGGATTTAAAGTTATTTATTTTCAAAGTTTAATTATTTATAAATTTATAATTAATATTTATATATACCGAGATTTCCAAACCACATATGAGCCAATTCATGAGCAACAGTTAAAGCAATCATCTCTTGGTCATCAATAGATGTAACACTTTTATTATACAAAACTCTCGTTTCATGAAAAGTAACTAGACCCCAATTTTCCATTCCTCCAAAAATAAAATCAGGGATTGGTATCAAATCTAAACAGTTCATATTGAGTATTCAATTATTTATTTGGTATGATGGAACGGACTACACCTTTTTGATGTAATTCAGTTAGCATTTTCATACTCAATGAATTTAATCATCATATTATGAGAAATGTAATTTGAATTTAATTATATACCTAATTTTGGTAATGGGTATTGAATACCAAAATAATTGACGAAATAATTAATTGCCTTGAGACCTACATGTTGAGCATATTTCATATTTTCTGTTTGACCACTTTTGGCATAAACCGTTAACGGAAACCCTTGATCCGCTTTTACAGATTCAAGTGATTGAAAATCACATACAATGAAACATGCTAGGTAAGTAGACATTGGAACAGTGTTRGCAAAATGGACTGTAGTCAATCCATTCGCAGGAACATTAATCTCTTCAGACTAAAACAAAAATATTACTTGATAGTAAAAAATTTGAATTCAAAATTATTTTATAATTACCTCTTGATTCATATTGGATAATGCAATGTAGTTGTTACTAGATGGTCGAGTTAAACTTATTTTAAATTTTGATTTCAGCTGAGGCTCATCAAAACATGGAAACGCCAACCGCGCATAAGTTGGTTCAAATGTAGAAGTAGCAATGTAATGTTTCTCAAGGCTCCTTGAATCTGTATAAACGCGTCGATAAAATCCAACCCTTTTGCCTAATAAGCTACCCTCAAATGTTATTTGTAATTTGTATCCCCCAGCACTTAGTTCTTCATTAGGTACAACAACCCAAAATTCATGTTCTGGATATGAGAACGCTGTTACAGCACTGGAATTGAGTTTAGTTTCTTTGATATTCAATCCTTTTGAGTGTAGTTTAATATAACTCTGAGCAGTGTCCAATATGATTGTTATATTAACAGAACCAACAAATGATCCTTGTTCAAGATTTGGGTACATATTAATGAAATACTGTTGTGGACGAATGTATGGGGATAAGCGATGTGTAGATTCCCACGGTTTTGCTGCCATTATACCCTAAAAAATAAATGAACTCAGAACCAATGACTTTATGACATAAAACAGGTTTATCGTTTTATTATGATTTTTATAAAAACAATTTGGTCAATAATCAATTTTTCAAATTCAAATGTAAAGTAATAATTCCATTTACTAATAAATATTAGGGGAATGTGGTGGAATGGCGGCCAGTGGGTAATACCGGTCAGTGACTCAGTGACATATCTCATGAAATATGATAGCTAAAATTTAGATTTTAACGTTATTTGATAAGTGTTGTTATCAAAACACAATTTTTCCCACCAAAAGTTTGTTATCAATTTTATTATCACTTTTGATCTAATATTTTTCAAAATCGAAAATCATCTAAAGGTAAGAGTTTTAATTTTTTTTCTACATTAATGGTTGTATTTATCTCTAAATATTATGAGGATTGCAATTATGTGATCATGATTCATCTAAATAGTATGGTTTTTAAGTAAATTCATGTATTTAAAAGTAACTATGAAAGGGGTATTACCGGCCAAATGTGATGGGGTAACTGCGGTCAAATTTTGTCTGACTGTCATTACCCCGTCTCAAATAAATTATATTAAATATTATAATTTTAATAGGTTAATAATTTATTTTAGATGCCACGAACATACGTTCGAAAAACAACTAAAGCTAGTTGGAATACCGAAGACCTAAGTCTTGTACTAATACAAGCCATAAATGTTGTTGCTAATAAAGAGATGAGTTTGCGTAAGGCTGCTAAAAAATTCAATATACCATACCTAACCTAACCTGATATTTGTATATTAAATTATACCTAAGTGTTAACTAATATTTGTTATTATTAATTGTTAAATTTGATGAAAAGACTTATCTACCTAAGAGCTATAAATGTTATAATTTGTTTTTTTTTACCAAGCAGGAGAGGACTGCAATTTATATATTATATTTAAAACTTGTCTACCTAAGAGCTATAACTACATATTACAATTTGTTTTTTTTTTTTTTTTATATACTAAAATGTATATACCTATTCTATTTAATGATTATTATATTATGAAAGTACATATTTACCTGCCTATATTTTATATATTAGGTAACTTATATTTGTTTATTAATAAGATATAATCTGATATACAAAATACAATGCATAAAGGAATTTTAAATGAAATAAATTAAAAGTTTGTTCACTTTTGGTACCTAAGATATATTTTTTTATACTTTTAAAATTTATTAATACAAAAATTACACATTTCTAATGCATTTTAGAAATTCTTAATATTGATAAATATCTCTGTACAGATAACATCATATTTTGTAAGATTTTTAGAAATTTATATTTTGTCCTTTACTTTTACATGTATTTTTGTGTGACTTGTATTACCCCACTATATGGGTAATGCCGGTCATATGCGTTTTTTTTTAAAATGAAAAAAAAAAATATTACACTTAACTTTAAAAATTTGAAACTTATATATGTAGTAGCTAACAACTTTGTAGTTCTAATGTTAGCAATAGTAAAATATTTGGTTCATTATTACCGGCATCATCATATGTAGTGAAAATAAAAAAGTACCACAATTTAATAATAGTACATAAAATTCTGAACTTTAGAGCACTTAAAATGTTGAAAATGTATTAATAACTAAAATCATTTTTGAAGAAAAGCGGGGAAGTATATGTCACTCTGCTGTACAGCAGGTGACAAGAGGATCACTTTAAATGGATGATATTAAATTTGAATTCAATGATATAAATGATACATTGTAAAAGTAAAACGATTCTGAGCAGAGACGGTTTGTCAGTCTAGGATATTTTAAGTTTTAACTAAACAAATTACAAATTGTATATTTTCAATTTAATATATTTTGTCAAAATGATAACTTTGAATAGTTATAAAAAAAAAACGTACCTATGAGGAATCATGCATTACATTTTCCAAGCTCTTTGACAGACAAATAAAATTGTGTTGACATTTAAAGAAAAAAAATTTGAAAAATTGAAACCGAAAGTGCCCGTAAATCGCTTAAAATAAGTCAAAATATGTTATGGTGAATAGCACATGCTAATATAAAGATACCTGGAAAATTGTATGTATCTACGGCACGCGGCACTTTGTCTGATAGTTACACCAAAATTCAAAATCGTTTTTTTTTTTAAACAATTTTTGCGAATTTTTTTCCCAGTGCTTTTAAAAACTAATGGGAATTTTAAATTTTGACCTTAATGCTTAGTGCATCAACTAGATTAAGTTTCCTGACGGAAAATCTACTGAAGTTAAAACATCGAAACTATTTCGATTACTTATCGTGTAAATAGACAAAAAACACATAATTTTAAAATCAATCCATTTATATCATTCATCGTTCAGCTCAGCATCAAAAAATATCAATTTTCGTCACCACTATATAATATACACTATTACTATAATAACTAAAATACTTTATGTTATAATACGATTAAACCTACTTAAGAGTTTATATAGGTATTATCTGCTAATCGGTGATGGAATTTAAGATGGTTTGAAGCTAAAATAAGAGAAACACAGTGGCTATAGGTGTGGCGTGGCCATACGTTCAACTATCCCTTTGACTGTACGTGCTGGCTGGTGTTGCTATTAGCTCTGGATGGGTGACCATAGGATTTTTAGTAACAAATCCTTGTCACACATACGAAAAAACGTGTTCCAACCTACCATACCCTCACTCACAGTTGAAAAAACCTACTAAAAAAATTACCAACCGATGTTACCATGGGTTCAGTAACAAAAAAGAAACACAATGACCAATAGTATAGCTTGATGCAATTATTGCTAATAAGCAAGTATAATTTTAAATAACAGCTAGTGTATTAAATTATGTAATACTATAAAAAAAATTTAAAATTTGTAGGTACCTACATCAACCTACCAATAATTTTTTACTTTTTTTATATTTTGATGTAATATATACATATGTACAGTTGTATTCAAAAAAAAATTGTTGTTACGAATGTTACGTATACATATTTTTCATGCCTATTAAAGTAATACATTTCCAAATAAAATAAAGGGAAGAGTTGAACCGCATTACCTTTGTGGAATCAAACCTAACCTTCTCTATCCCTCAGAATTAAGATATATTCACCACTGAGCCCTATAGAATCAAAAACTACTTGAGACTTGAAGTGGGTTTATCCTGTATTTTTTCATATTATAATTACTATTTTGATAAAATTTTTTTTACTGAATACTGAACTACTGACTCTTTTTTTGTCGTTCTTATAATTATCAAATATTGATGATGGTTTACGCATTTATTTGTCAAGTACAATAATCACCGTTTACTTTTACATTTCTACTGTCCAAAATTCGTGTTTTCATAAATTTTTACAAACACTCACCGCTGTTCTATAATTCACCATGATTGTTATGACTGTTACAACTGTGACGACCGCCAAAATAAACACCCATTTTATTACCAGCGTCATATTTGATTTGGTAAAATTAGCTATATTCTTGTTCACCAAAATGAATATAATATTTTATTGTATATTTCGGAACAGTGAACCTACCTGCGTACATACATTTAAAAGTATACATAAAATCTTAAATTATATTAAATTGTTTATTTTAAATTTATATCCGCTATCAATATACCTACCGATCATGGTAAATTTACATTATTATACATTCAACAATAATATGATGTATACTAAATTATATCATATGATTTTAATAAGGTATTACATATTATACATCTAAAATGAGTAAAATGAGTAAAATCTATATGCTAAGTTAAAATTGATACTCATTGCTGCCAATTTCTGTTTATATGATTATAAATATTATAACACAAGTTGATTGTTAACGTTATTTGCTGCACTAGTACTCTATACAGTGTAAATTTACCTACAATCAAACTTTTATAGTTAAGAACACTATCTGTACTTAGGCGTCTACTTTTAATCAAYATTTTAACTTTCAAAGGAATTATAAACATTTTTAATTTATAATATTTCATTTACTCATATCTTGTTTAAAAATTAATATATCGAAAAAATCACTGTAGATTAAGAACAAATAATGTTTTTACCTAAAGTGTTTAACAATAGGTCAAATTACTAATATCAAAACTGACAGCACTCTATTAAAATTAGTAAACAAAAATGTACCTTTAAACGTCCTTTTAAAATAAAATAAAAATTATCTGATATTTTGATAAATAATGTTAATAATTATATTATGTAGCAAGTAGTGAGTTTATATTTCTAGTCTGAGTATTTTAAAATACATACCTAGGTATAAATACAATAAATTAGAATATTTGTTAAAAAATCTTCTTTGTGAATCTCCATATTTTTGTTGTAAGGCTATAATATTTCAGACAATACTTAAGATAAAATATAAATGATCAAACTATTATATCATTTTTAGATGAATGATTTTTAGCCTACAAAGAACGTATAGAAGTTAGTAGTGACTGTAGTGAATACTGAATGAGAAACGATAATTTAACTTACCTACTAATCACTAATGTATAATGTATATTCAAGAAATTGAAACTAATTCCCAATTTATTTTTTATTTATCTTATTCAAAGTCCAAGGTCAATTTAAAGGTGCGGATTAATTTGTAAATGTATAATTTTATCTATAAACAGTTTTGCAAAAAAAAACAAACTTTATCCATTAAAAGAAAATGATAATAATAATAATTTTTTATAACGAAATAAAAACTTATTATTTTCATCATTTGATAATACATCATATAAAATAATGTTATATGACTATTTTTATCAAATTATTCTATACTTATATATTAGGTAGGTATATTTATAATTATTTTTGTATAAAGTATAAATAAGGACGATTCCCCGGTGAATTTCACTAAGTATGCTAATTGCTCGATTGCTCACCTTCATTTTCTCTATCATAATACATACATGCAACATTTCAAATTATTAATATGGAATTTTTAAGAATACATGTCAAGTGTTGTCTATTGAGGATCATATTTTATAATACTTATAGATTTTTATACCATTAGAAAAAGCTATAAAAACCATATACCCCATGTCTCCAACATAAATACGCTCATTTATGTGTAAGTGTGCACGCATGATTATAAACTTTGAATAAAATAGTAACATATGGTTGGTGGTTATTTAAGATACAGTATAATGTATAGAAATTAAATAACATACAGTAAAAAAAATCACAGTACCTAATATTTAATAGAATAGTAATGAATAGTGATAACTGATAATATAATACGGTCATTCTGGACCAACAGAATAAAAATACATAGGTATATAAATATAGAATTTTGATCTTTAGGCTTGAATAAAAATAGTGTAATATAAGAATAATAGCGGCCTTTCTGATTCAACAATAAATCAAATAAATAATAACAAAAAAAAAAACTCGCAATTTATTGTTGATTGCATACTGCCCATCTGGCGTTATCCTATGATCGGATAATAATAATATAGCAACATTCAGTTTTTGATGGCGATTTACTCACGTGAAAAGTGGGGATGATTCACACATCACACATGAGTAAAATTTAAAAGTGTGGTACTATCCGATTATGAAATTGTATATGTCTATAGATATTTAATTACTATTAATATTATTGATTAATAACCATTAATAACCACCATTTAGTGGTGCTGACGGAGGATGCTAAGAGTCGACTGAACTGAGTTTCGTACCAATAACAGTAGTGTGCATTATGAAATAGGTAAACTTAGAGGATTATTAAGATCAATCAAAGAAAGTAGATGGAGACTTATTGGACACACTTTAAGACACTAGGAGTCCAAGGAGGATCTAAACCACAGAATATTGGATGGATAAATAGAAGGCAAGGGAGGCAAAGGGCGCTCTAGAACAACGTTAGTTAAAACAATTATTAAAGATGCGGGATTGAGAACCTACAAAAAACTGAAGATAATGGCCAGTAACAGAKAAGAATAAAGGGAGCAAGGAAGAATGCTGTAAAACCAACCTTAGAGTTGATTACTATAAAAAGAATAAATATTATTGACATTGTTTTTAATTACTTTTTTAAATGAAATGGACTAATAATATACCAATATATTAAATTGAATATAGTATAATTGTTTTTGAAATTAATAATTTTTTGCCTAATTTCTAATGTAGTATTGAATATGTTAATTATCTTATTATATACGTATTTTATTAAATAGGGATACCAATGAAACATTATATTTATCCATGACTTAATACAGTATTTTAAATGGTGTGTTTACCTAATTTTTTCATTTTTTTCAATTCATAGTCTATAAATATATATATCAATTAGATTGAATTTATCAACCAATTACTAATAACAGCTTCGTGATTTTCTAACCATTTGACGTTATTGAATATAACTTCTGGTGCAGATTTTCTGCTGGTTATCCTAGCTTCAGCTTTTGGATATTTGTCAAAAAAATAAATAAAAAAATACTTTTATCTAAAAAATACACATATACCTATATTGAATATATAACACGTTAAAAAAATAGAAATTTCCTATTGATGTTTAAATGAAATTATATCACAAAGAGTTAACTTTTGTCAAATAATAGTTAACATTTATTTCTTCAAGACTTGACCTGAGACATTCATAAATAAGCAATTTACTATTAATAATGGTCCAAAGATAAAGATTTTGTCATGTTTAATGCAATGCCATTTGGTAAATAAACACCAATTATGTATGGTAAGTGGAAGTTACTAACTAGTATTAGTTACAATGTTCATGTTTAAAACAATTTTTTATTTTTAAAAATATTTTTCATTATTCCTAATAAAAAAGTATACATTTTAGGTTGGTTGCGTACGCCTTACAATGCTTAAATATTGCATTATGTTCAAAAGAATTATAAAAAATGATTTTCAAGAGAATAATTAGTATTAATTTATTATTTAATATGTATATGTTACTCGTGAACCGTGGTATTCATAGCAGGACAATATGGCTGAATTCGATTAAAAAGAAAGCAGCTCCGGAAAAGATCTGATCTAAAGCTTAAATGGGTGTATTTAAAAAGGAGTTTACCAATAAATTGCGCTTAAAATGAATTTTTTATGTACCAATTGCGCTCAAAACTATTTAGGGTCGATATATCAATTGCGCTCTAAAAATTTAAGGGTCGATATGACCAATTGTGCTTTAAAAATTTTAGGGTCAATAGACCAATTGCACTCTATACATTTTAAATTACCTAAGGAAAACTTTTTAGTTAGTTACTAACTGATTTTTTTACGAGTATTAGTGTATAATACATTGTTAGATTTCTAGTATTTTACTATTTTTGAACTATTCATGGGTGGTAGAATCAAGGATCACTTAACTCATGACCTAAAAGCCACGTGTTGACCCTAAGCCCAAGTCGATGGAACTTGTAGCAATTACACAGTTTAATCAATGAAAACTAAAATAAAATAATATTAATAATAACAAGTAAATAGGTGGTTAAATCATCAAGTAATAAGATATTTGAGTTTAAGGTAATCATGATGTTGCATGTCTTAAGAATAATAATAATTTTTTAAATATTAATTTGAGCATGGAATTACAATTTAGAATAACATAATTTGGTTAGTTTACACTACGAGGAAAGGAGAATATAATCATAAGTATAACATGGCAATTACAATAAAATAATTAATTTGGTCACCACGAGGTATAATAATAACATGTTGATTAAAAAAAAAAATATATATATATATAATAAAAATAAATTAATAGGTACACTAACCGGTCACAACTCACAAGTTTGATCGGCAATTATTCAAGATTAAATCGTAATTATAAATATAATAAAAATATATATAAACACGTAAATTATTTTTTTGGGAGTACCTATTAATAGGTACATAATAATATTATAATTCATACTTAAACATTTTTACAATAATGATAACTCACAATCTTTAAAAATTCTTTTCTGCTAATTTCGACAGATTTGTATTTCTCGATATAAGAATTGATTGTTAATTTTTTTGTCAAATATGCCCCATTTGAAATATATTAAGTAAAATATAAAGAGTGCAATTGGCACACTAACCGTAAAATACATACAGCGCAATTGGTATATTGGTCCTAAAATACAAACTTTAAATAATATAATATAATATAATATGATTACAATGTGTCAATGTAGCGATATATAAATCATCTATCGTATACAGTAGTAACCAATAACCAAAAAACCAATTAGCAATAAATAATCAATACTTCAATTCGTATTTCCAGTCTTGTAAAAACAACATAATCTAATTACAATTCGTAGAATTAATAAAGTAACTACGAATATGAACGACTTTCAATTAGATTTGGCAATAACAACAACATCGGTACCTTTTAATCCACCTCCTAGTCTATTCGTGTAATACTTTAGCCGTCCAAATTCTGCATAAATACAGGACTTCGCCCATAGCAGAATTAGAATTAGTTCAATCTCCACATATGTAGAACTTACCTGGTCGTACAGTCTGCGCACTCCACAGGACCACAGACCAGACCCCCGTGGGCCGTGGCCAGACTAAGTTCCTCCCCATTAATTTTTGTAGTGAGTAGATTACTAACTTCTCGGGCAGATACTTTTCGTTCTGTCCTCAAAATTATATAATATTTTATTCTAACTTAATAAAATTTTTAAATTTCTAACGTTGTGTTATTTATAAACTCTGTAACCTTCTCCATTGAAAAACCTGCTCGTCATCCCATTCAACGTCGTCGAACTCAAAGTCTCAAAATATAGGCGTTAGTGTCTTAGTGACATGGCATATTTTAACATACAAAGTACGGGGCACTAGTGCCCCCCAGTGATATTTTAATGCTACCCACTGGTGGGTGATCGTGCCACACTGCCACTGACTATAATACATTCTCATAACGACCGATAGGTACCAATGTCAATTATTATGTATATAATATATGTATAAAGAACATAAAACTATTTTAAGCTTTCGACTCTTGTATAGTTYATCCCATACTATATAATAAACAATAATAATATTTTATTGAATGTAGAACATGTCACATGCTCACAACTATTTTGTCGGAATTGTTTATATTATATACCTATTGATAAAATAAATTATACGAATAGATATAGTTGTACTGATGTAGTACGAAAATAGTACACGTAATTTTAACAGTGCTATCAATATCTTCGGAAGTCGTCGATCGTCACCGTAAATTGAAGGTTGGGTGGGAATAAGGTGCTATATTACAACATTTCTAATTTTCTACATATTTTGAATTTTCGTCCTGTACTCCTGATGAAAGACAGGCGAGGCGACCATACACTGTATAGGTAAATTTTGTACTACTTTTATACAATTGTTTAGAAGTATTCATATTTCATAGCATTGTTCTGTGATTGAAATATCAAATACTTATACTCGTCCAGGGCCGGATTGGATAGTCTCGGCCCTTCGAGAAATATTTTTCAATCGGTCCGTAATTTGCTATAAAAGCCCATATTGGACGAATTTTAGTATTAATAAATAATAATGATCTTATCCTGTTTGTTGACTGTATACCTAGTGTATACTATTATAATATAGCTGTCATTAAAATGCTAAGKTTCTGTAATCTAAAGAGAAAAGAAGGAAACTACCTGACCCGGCTGACCCAGAGCTATACCAGAATCAATAATTTATCCAAACATTTTTTTCCGTAGATTCAAACATATAATTTTAAATTTTAACACGTATTTTTTTAAATACAGATACTGATAGAAATATATATACTCTGTTCTACTTATTTTATCAAAGTTTTATCATTGAAAAATCGGTTATTTTGATATAATAATAATATCTCAAATTCTCAATAAATAAACCTATATTATACAACTTGTAGATGTATTTTTTAGTAGAGTACAGTTAATAAACCTATATCAAAATTGTTGAGATAGGAGAGTTGATTTTCTTTCTATGTTCCTCTAGTAGACAATTTTATTGAAGTGCCACCCAGTGAAAATTACTTAAAATATGCTCTGCGGCGGGTTAGTGAGAGATCACTACACCATGGTTATTGGTTAGTCGTTAGTATTTTATTTTTCGAATCAGACTTTTTGGTTTTTATCACGACTGTAGATAATATCACAGAACAGTTCTGTGATAATATTATCTATAATTACAATTGATAATATTATCAATTAAAATTCGTATTGTCGGTGAAAATACTCATAACCTAACAAAACAAAACCGAAATAAAAATGATTTTAGTGTTCACTGTTCAGAATCAACAGAATTTCGGATTACTCACTAACTCACTAATTTACTATTGTGTCTAATTTGCGATGTCTTCTGAAACTATAGTAAGTCCAGTTGAAGATAAACTGCACTCCGTGTATCCTTAATTCTGTAGTATAATAAGTTACTTTAAATTATATTATTTATATATTAATCATGTCATTGTATAGATGTAAGATTAGCTCTGTATGTCGAAATTATTCGCAAGCCGCCGCTGCTGTTTCGAATAAGTCCCACCCTCTCGGGAATACTGTTGATCAAAAACTTCCATCTTTTGCGAAAAGTTTGTTTATAGGAAATTTTGTCAAAACAGCATTTGTCCGAAGTACAAAACAAGTCAATTTACCGAAATTGGATAAACTTTTCGGCGTTTGTGTGCCCAAAGAATTTGGAGGTTTAGAACTGACTTCAGCTTCTATTTCAGAAGCTTATAAACGAAATAGTTTTGCGGACTTAAGAGAGTGCATCGCTCATGGTAGCGTTGTGAAATGCATTAATACGACTGGTACAGATGAACAAAAGAGTAACTATTTACCACAACTGGCTTCTGGTAAATGTATTGCATCATACTGTATTTACGAAAGCAAACACGGATATGATGTTCAAAACAGTGAGACTACAGCCTCCCAAAAAAATGGAAAATGGATAATTAATGGCTCAAAACAGTGGGTTGTGAATGGAGAACGAGCCAATATGTTTTTAGTACTTGCTAAAACTATGGATGAATGCAATCGTCCAGAGAGTGGACAAAATTTTTTCACAGCCTTTTTGGTTAAAAAGTTAGAACACAGTGGCATTAAAATTACTACCGAAGGAAATCACTATAATGTAACATTCAATAATGTTGAAGCCGATTGTATACTAGGATCTGAAAACGAAGGCCTAAAATATTTTTCAATGTTGTTCAGTGGTGATTTATTAGAATCCTCTTCGGCTACATTAGGTGAGATAAAAAATATTGTTCAAAAAGCCTCTCAACATATCCAGACCACTGATCGATCAAGTTTAATTAAATTAGGAAAGCTAAATAGCCATTTGTATACTATGGACTGTGTTTTGGAATTTACTAGTCTGATATTAGATACCTATGACTCTACAAGTGACTATGAGCCGATTCTCGCTCGATTGTTTGTTAGTGAAACAACACGTAGTTGCTTAACTTTGTTGAATGACTTGGGTCTATCCAAGAAGTCTTTTAAATACATTGAAAACTCGCTATTATTCGAAGGTAGATCAAATTTACTACAGATTGTTGGTGCTCTGCTTGGCATTCAGTATGCTGGACAGTTTATGGCTGAAGATGTGAAACAATTAAGAAATCCACTTATGTTTCCCAAGTACACAATAAGTCATATCATGAAAATTCAACGATCACTGAAAAATAAACCAAAATTGAATCATTATATTGAGAAGCACTTGCATCCATCACTCAAAAAACAAGCATTGGACTTAGAATATTGTTTAAGCAGATTTCAATTTGGTGTTCAAAATATGTTTGTGAATCTTGGTCCCGATACTTGCTATTACCAAATGATACTCGTTAGGGCTAACAGTATTGCTATGGACTTGTTTGCCATGGCGGCCGTGTTACATAGAGTATCGCAAAAACTTTCTAGTTCAAATGCACAGCTCTATCCTACAGAATTAATTTTTGCCAATGTATTTTGCAACAGTGTCCGYGAACAATGCAGTCAAAAAGTAACTGAAATACTAGATGCTCCACACAATGTTGTAGATCCACATTATAAAACCATTGGCCAAAATTGTTTTGTTGAGAAAAATTATTTCTTTGAACATCCGTTGAAAAGAAATATTTTTTAATTAATCTTTCATCAAACCAAATATAGTTATGTTTATATCTAATTTATTTGATTGTATTATAATATGTTAATTGTTAATGTTACTACCTAATAACCTGTTAAAAATTAATTTTTTCCTAAATAATAATATCTCAGAACTCACAAATTTAATGCTGGAACTCCCCACCACGCTAGGGCTATCTATCATGCTCTTAGAGTAGAAAAAGAGCCAAATAGTTCTATTAATAGAATTTGTGATATTGCAGGAAAATTTGTGATTGTGTAAGTATTACAATTTAACAGTTTGTGGTGTTACCTTGCATTATAAACTTATTATTTTTACTTAAAGGTAGTTAGAAACATTAATTTTTTCAGAACACTTGAATCGGCAGAACTTCATTCCTTGCGTTCAAGTTCTAACAGTTTATTAGACATACTTAAAGTTTTATCTGAAGTAATACAAAAATTTGATCTTAAATCTCCATCAGCTGACTATGATCACTTCTGAAACTCCTCGTCAAAATACACCGTCTCCAACCGAAAGTCGAGCCAATTATGGATTTGCCTTATACTTAGCTTCTAAGACCGCATTCGTTGTTTATTTGGCATGGGCATTCATACCGAGTCATTGGTTGGAATATATTGGTCTAACATACCTACCACAAAAGTACTGGGCAATTACCATACCTGTGTGGGTATGTTGTTTCATTGTGGTCATTGCCCTTTTGTACCCAGCTATTAATATGCTGCTTGTTCCACCAATGAATGATCCTCGTATCTTAACAGATTCATATGCTCGCGAAACAATCAATGAAGTCCGTCCTGGAGGTATACCAACAGTTTCTGATCTTGATCTTTCAGAAGTTTGTAAAACATTATATTTAGATTCTAAAGATGTAAACTAAGTTATCATTATTATTAATTATTAATCAATTATGTTCTCTGATTGTTCAAATAAACATAAAAAAAGTATCGGTAAATATGTGTTTAATCATTTTGAATTAGATGAAGATAAATGTCACTCATGCCAACCCATTGAATTTGAGTGCTGGTATTCATATATAATCATTCTTTTATGTATTTTATAATATTAAAAGTTCTCTTTTGAAATTTTATTTTATTATTTTAAAATTCCATACATTATCAGTCTACCTAACAAATGTGCATATAGTGTATACTGAATAATTACAAATCAACAATTTAATTTTAGTATTTATAATTTTGAAGAAAATTAAAATCATGATTTAATATCACTAATTAAAACTATATTTATAAATGTTATACAATTTGCTAAAATTCCATTATAAAAAACTAAATTTATAAAAAATGACATTAAATATATTTCAAATATTTTTATTTAAAACAATGTTCAAAAAAATAAGTGAAATGTACTACTGAAAATTAAATGGTGGGAAATGACCGCTACCAACAATACAAATGTAGGTATCTATCGTCTATTAAGATTAACTCCAAATCAGTTTTAAATCTTAAGCCTTAAATTAAATAAATAATTTAAGATTTTACCGAAAAATTAAGCATACTAGTCTCAAATTATCATTTACAATTGTTTTATATAATTAAAAACAAGTACATTAACTTTTGATATTTGGTAATTTTTTTTAGTTTTTTATTGTAAATGAATATAAAGAATTATTTATAAATATACCTATTGAACATTTATTTTATTAAAATGTACACTGTTACATACAATTAGGAACAATCATAGCTTATTAACTTTTTTTTTAGTTATTTAGCCATAGAAACAATACAAAGGTTAATTTTGTAATGATAATTTATAGGACCCTGTATAATAAAAAATTGATATTTCAAACAATAATAAAACCGATAATAACTGTAAATTTTCAACAATAAAATTTATGTTAAAAAAAAAATTATATGGAATTAATTAACCAATTAGTAATGACAGCTTCATGATTTTCTAACCATTTGATGTTATTAGATACAACTTCTAGTGCAGTTTTTCGACCAGCTTTTCCAGCTCCAGCTTCTGGGTATTTATCAAAAAATACTTTCATCTACAAAATATACATATTACATATATATAATGAATATAAAGTATATTAGAAATTTCCTATTGATTTTTAAATGAAATTATATTGCAAAGAATTAAATTTTGTCTAAGAATAAGAAGCATTTACTTCTTCAAGGCGTTGGTGTGTATTGAATTGAGCACAAACTGAAGGAATAAGTTTTCCAAATCCCCGATCGTTCAGAGAAAAACGGTCAACCAAGTACTGCCATTCATCCCTAATATAACAATTGCGTTATAACATTACATTAAAAATTTCCATATACCTATTTTTTTTTAAATTCAATCAAAATATATTATATACCTCAAGAAGTCCCACACCAATTGAGTTCCAACAGGATTTCGGCTTATCTGAGATATGATAATAAAATAATCTTGGGAACGAACATAGCTCTCATTTTTTGCATATTGCAGTAGTCTAGAAAACAATTAAATATTTTTATTTCAAATAAATAAAATTAAGTGCACAATTTACCTAGTTAATATTGATGTATCTTTTGAGGCAGTTAATGCCACCATAAGTTTTATTTTTTCTTGAGGTTCTTGCTCAATTAAGAATAAATCCCACAGTCTATTCCATTCACTTTCATTACCTTGAGACATTCCTAAAAACATTTAAAAAAAACTTAAATTTTTAAATAATAATTGATCACCTATTTATTTCTATACAATATTTAAAATTTAACTAACCATAATAATAAACTGTGTATCTAATATCTGGATTTGGCTGGATCTTATCATCCAGAAATCGTTTAAATAATTCATATACTTTAGTTTGATAGCTTGGTAAACCGTATAAACACCCCAAATTGAGAATAACTCCTTGAAGTTTACGTTGTAAGAAGTTTCTATCGCTTGAATCATTCCAAAAATCTTCTTTTATACTTCCCAATAAATGTTGTACATATTTCTTTAATAAACAAAATAATTATATTCGTCAAACCAAATTCATAAAATTGTTAAATTCATTAAATGACTAATTTTTTAAGGTATAATTATCAAAACGTGGTGAATGTGGGTAAAAAAATTAAAATTATATTATGATTGCTAATAACTTTAAACCACAAAATTGTGTGAAGGGACCATGATATAACATATAAAATAGCTAAAATCTAGATTTTATATTTAAAAATTTAAAAAAACTGTTTATGGAAAATAATAATCTATGTAACAGCGTACAAAAAAATATTAATTTTTAAGAATTTCATCAAAAGTTTAAATAAGTATGAACAAAATTATGATAATAATATATCAATGTTTTATGAACACAAATAAAATTTAAGTTTTTATGTTTTATTTATGATTCTTCAATGGGCTATCTTAACAGGTTTCGTTTTATTAACTTAAGTTCACCAAATGTAATGGTTCCAATATTAAATATTTGTTGTCCAATTTTTTTTTTTTTATTATTTATTAATTTAAATTCAAAGATAATCATGGAAATAAYTACAATAGCATTGAATAATGTCAATTATCATAGCAATTATTAGTTTTTCTATAAAGATTTTGGTAAGAAACATTTCATGGTTTAGTTTTTTTTTAAAATTATTTACGAACTTTAAATGTATCGTAAATTCACCATTATTATTGTCGTTATTCAAAAATTATTTTTCCAAGACTATTAATATGATGGAATTAAGGTTTACTTAAACTGTGGTATTAGCAATAAACATTGATATTCTACGTTTATATGATGGCATTAAAATGGCTTGAAATTAAATCTGTTTTAACTTCTAAACTACATAGTGTGAGCATTTTAACGCTATCATATAAACGTAGTAATAGATAACTTCATAATGCTAGGCAAATCACTGATCTAACATATTTGACCATGAGATGTAATTATTAGTTTTTAAATAATCTCATAATTTATTACTTCAAGATTTTTATGTGCTGCACGTTGATATAAGTTGTGCCATAATGTATTTAAGTTAGTAGCAGCTACATCCCAAGGAACGAAATGATGTTCTGAAGATAAATACTTTGTCATGTTTAACGCAATGCCATATGGTAAGTAGTTAGCTTTGGCCAAACTAAAGGCATCATGAATAAGATTTGAACGGTCAGCCGCACTTAATGCCTTTAAATTTAAAATTTAAAATGTATTAATATGGCTAAAAAATATTATCCAAATACTCACATCAACATTTTTTTCTAATAAATTGTTAAGTAAACCCCAATCACTCTCTGAATAGTTTATGATGTAATATCCAACTTGTCTATGATTAAGTTTTATCCATTCAGCATCGGGTATGTCAATTGTAACTTTTAAATAAATATTTTTATTAAAATCAATTAAAATATTCAAAAACCATAGTACTTACTTGAATCCTCATCTTTGCTAAACCAAAACTTATGTACAGTATTGTTGTTTGAAGTGGTATAAGTGATAGGAATTTCCCATTTGTAATTATATGGAGATGATTCAGACGAAGAATCAGAATTTGGGTCGGACAAAAATCTTTGCTGCTTTAAAGTAAGTTTAGTTCCATTCCGTATAGCCGATACTACTGGGAACCCTGCTTGTCTTGTCCATGTATCCATGAGCTATTATTATTTAAATACAAATATTTATAACAAGTTAAATATTATAATATGTATACAAACTAATAAATCATTTTTACCTTTTTAACATCGACTGTATCTTGAGTAGCATTTTGTAATTCTGCCCATAAATCATCAGTTTCAGCATTGTTAAATGCAAAACGTTTTAAATATGCGCTCACTMCAACTCTGAATACTTCTTCACCCAACATTCCTTCTAACATTCGTATAACAGAAGAACCCTAAAAAATCAAATTCATATTTTAGAAATAACATCAAACATTGGAAACAAACAAACTTACTTTATTATATGATATTACATCAAAAATTTCAGTTATTTGATCTGGATGAGAAACATCTTGCACTATAGCATGAGAACTAAGTTTATTATCTAAATATTGCACTGATTGTAGGCAATGAATTAGAAACAATGTGTCCTAATAAAATAATTTATTATTACAAAGAATAATGGCTAACAAAAAGCAGATATAGCAGATACATACAACATCCCAATCAGGGTGGACAACTTGCAAAGCTTTAAATTCCATGTAAGAAGCAAATCCTTCGTTAAGCCATAAGTCATTCCACCATTTCATAGTAGCTGAAAAAAAATAGTGAAATATAATTATTTGCAATTTGGATGTATTTTTGTTTCAATTTGAGCTATATGTTAAATCTTTTATAAGTACTTATTTTTGTATGCATTTACATACCAAGATTTCCAAACCACATATGAGCTAATTCATGAGCAACAGTCAAAGCTACTTGTTCTTGGTTAGAACTAGAACTTATACCTTCTTTATATAAAACACTAGTTTCACGAAATGTTATAAGACCCCAATGTTCCATGGCACCAGAAACAAAATCTGGGATTGCAATCAAATCTGTATCAATAAATTGAATAAATTATTAAATCATAATCATAATGTAAATAATAGCAATATAAAATCATGTGAAATTTAAAAATAAGTTTTTATAAATACATACCTAATTTTGGTAATGGGTATTGAATTCCAAAATAATTCACATAAAAGTTAATTGCCTTAAGACCTACTTGTTGAGCATATTTCATATTTTCAGATTGACCACTTCTAGCATAAACCGTTAACGGAAACCCTTGATCCGCTTTTACAGATTCAAGTGATTGAAAATCACATACAATGAAACAAGCCAGGTAAGTAGACATTGGAACGGTGTTGGCAAAATGGACTGTAGTCAATCCATTCGCAGGAACATTAATCTCTTCAGACTAAAACAAAAATATTACTTGATAGTAAAAAATTTGAATTCAAAATTATTTTATAATTACCTCTTGATTCATATTGGATAATGCAATGTAGTTATGACCAGATGGTCGAGTTAAACTTATTTTAAATTTTGATTTCA